GCTAATTCAATCAGCACAGAGGAGTATGTTCCCTGTGCTTCATGAACAGCACACACTACTACTGATGCATCTGCCCAATGGCTCAAGGAGATAGACACAGACTGATTTAACACCTGCTCAGAAGGATGGAACTGTCTGTAGGATACTCTCACAGGGTCTTCAGCACTGGTGGAATTAATTTACTTATGCCCATCGCAGTATCAGTGCACTACTTAGTGAAATGTATTTCTAGTGTGGTTTCTTGTTCTCAGTGATACTACAATGCAGATTTGTTAGTGTTCTTAAATGAAAGCTTTTGCCCATTGCCATCCAGAAGACAAAGTCACAATTTATAGCTAAGAGATCACCTTTTGACTTTTTGAAAAGTATACTTTATGGCCTGGAAAGTCATGTACAGACATTTTTAGTTTTTAAAAAAAGATCACCAGCTGGCATCGCTTGGAAGAGGAAGTTCTTTCCCAAGCTGGCCAAGGAGGACAAACAGATGTCAAGAGAAAAAGCTTGTTTGTGAGTCACGTCTGTGGAAAACATCAGCAAAACTATCTAGTAGGATGCTGCAAGTGAATATTGGTGTATGGCAAAGGCCCAGAAAAAGTAAATGCAAAAAGCTGGTAAGGGACATGTCACTACTTACATGTAGACAAAACCAAGAGAAAAGACAGTCATTCAAGTAAAATCCATGTTTGTCTCAAATGATTACTAGGAGGCTGTAGCAGTCTTTAGTAGAGTAACAACTAAAAGTAGGATTAACAAACAATGCATCTTCTTTCAGTGCAACAAAATCCTGTCGTTCCTTCTCTTTGAAGCGTTAACTACTTTGTAGTCACTGGATTAGAAGACTTGAGTGCTTGCATGCTTTCCAGACATGCTGAGCCTAATGACAACTTCCTTTATAAAGCAACAGCCTCACAATGAATAAACAAACTTAAATAGCAAACCATTCTTTGCACAGAGAACATAGTGACAGATGCTATAAATTAGATGGAATACTGTAAGTAGCATTTCTTCCTTCTGAGCAACCACACAAGGCAATAGAGAACGTCTATAGAAAGAAGTATTTTTGAAAAAATGAAAAAAAGTTGGCTTAATATTTTTTCTTCATCTGCAATGTTAAAAAATGAATAGAAAGAGACCTTTAAAATAAATTATCTCAATCAGAAGTACGATTAAAAGCTTGAGATGCTGAGTGCTACTAAAAAATATTTTTATTGAATCTAAAATGTGAATTTAAGACTCTGAGAATAAGCTATGAAAAGGGCTCCACAAGTCTTCTATACAGAAGATTCCCACAGCTATCAAACAAAACCCAGTATTTCTTACCATTCTTTCCTTTTACTCTTCCTTCTCACTGGTTGGTGGACTAAGACTGTCAGTTTCCTAATTAGTGGTCAAACAGATTTCCATGCCAATGCCTGCAAGCTATTCACACCTTAGACAAAGTGCAGTGAGTTTAGAAAAAAGATCAGCTTTTCTGCAAACAACTGAAAACTCAGTAAATAGGATTAATTTGCCTTGTCTGTCATCTTGTCCTTTTCTTCCAGCATCTTGCATTTATGTGCTGTTTACAGCAACAAAGACATTAAGGGGAAAAGTGCAATTCCAGTACAAATGCTTAATTTAATTGAGACACTCAAGGAGGGAAAAAAAAACTCAGTGCCAACTCTTGACTCAGAGATAAACTTCATCACTAAACTAACAACTTAATTAATGCTAGAAAGGTTTGATTGAGATTTGACCTAAAAATAGTTAATGTGGTCAATATAATTTATTAAAAGCTATCTGCGAACTCCTTGTACTCAAAGATGGATTGACTTTTATCAGATGACTTGTGTACAGTTTCCAGAGCTGAATCTCTTGCATTAAAGTCAGGGTGAAGCTATGCTGAATCTTATGCAACTTTTAAGATTTAAGTATTTTACAACTTTTTTCTACTTCCGCATTTAAAGGCATTCAGAAGTAATCCATACTTGGATTAATTTCTCCAAAAACATTGTAAAAATGTTTGAAATTAGAGGGTTTATTTCCTTTATGAAGTTAGGTAGAAGTTTACAAACTTCAGGGCCCTCAAAACCATAGTCATGAGTTACCATTACGTTTTCATTCCTAGACATTCTGCTGACAGAGTTTTGGTGTTTTGGTTGGTTTTTCTTTAAACGCTGCATTCTGCATATTTCTCAAGTCACATGAGCATTAACTTCCAGTTGATTAAACATCCTTTCCTATTTAATGGCAAGGGGGCAAAAGTCTGTAAGCCGGGTCCATTCTGCATCACCATTTTCAACGTTGCCTCTCACCTGGCCATATTCTAAAAGTGAGCACTGAAAAGGCTGAAATAACATTTTCAAAAATAAACCTTTAAATGAAATGTAGATTAACAAATACTCTGTTTACCATTAAGCAAATCTAATTAAACAGAAGAATACCCCTCAACAATAGAAGTACACAAGAATTTATTGCTGTGATTATGGGCTCTCAACCACTGTGCTGCTTATTCAAAGAAAATGGAGTCTCAAACTTCATGCCCATCGAGTAGAGTGAATCCACACTTTCCACAGGTGGTTGAGACGATTATCACACGCCCGTTTATGAGGTAGCGCTCAAAAGAAAATTATAAACCCCAAACACTCTTTTAATGGTAATTTACGATTTCATGTTGTCTCCGAGAAAGCTGAAACCTGACATGCCTCGGGAGAGCATGGCAGTACATTCACGGGACGGGGCAGCACATCGCCCACAAGAGGAGACGAAGGTCCTTTGCCACACTGCCAGCGCCGCTCCAGTCCGCTCTCCCGGCGCCAGGCACCCGTGGGCAGCTCCAGAGGTCCCCGGGAGCCCGCACCCCTCCGCCCCGCGGAAAGCCCTGGGGAGGCTCTGGGAAAGCAGAGGTAGTCTGGCTGTGAAGAGGCAGCCGCGCTCTGGAGCAGCAGCGGGGCGCAAGAGAAGGAAGGAAGAAAGGAAAGAAGCTCACGGGACGCTTGTGCACACCTCCCTGCCGCTGCATTTGGAAAACAGAGCGAGCTGCTCGGGGAAAAGGGGATGAAGCGGGCACGGGGACGGACAGTCCGGCATCTGCTCTCACAACCGCCGGAGGACGACGGCCATCCTCCCTGCGGCCCCGGGGGATCCCCCGGAGCTCGGGACCCCGCAGGAGGGGCAGAGCAGCGGGGCAGCCTCTTCAAAGGAAGCAATAAAGGCTCTAAGAAAAATAAAGGCGACGGGAACTGACCCCAAATCCGCGAGCTGTAACATGCCCGCCTCCTGCTCTCGCCCCGGAAAGCTCACAGACCTCTAGCTTTCTGCTGACCCTCTCCCTTCATGGCAAAGCAACAAATGGCAAGACCTCGGTTCCCGGAGCTGAATAACAGGAAATATAGGCATCTGTCACCTCCCGGGGAGAGCTAAATGGATTAGCGAAAGCAACAAAGGGAAGAAAAGCTCTTTCAAACGTGCAATTGATTAACAAGTCCCCTCTAATCTGCAGCATCACTGTTTTTCCTTAAAGACATCATCGGTCTCCTCCAGCACGTCGGTGCAATTCAGTTAAAGCCAGGAAAGGCGGGGGAGGAAGGCACTGCTAACCCGGCGAACTCCCGCGCTGCCCGGTGAGGACAGAACGGGAAGGGTTACAAACCTGGCATGGAAATGGTGCAGCCTTGTCATCTGCTTCCTCAGTGCCTGGGCAAGGACTCCCGGGAAGGACTTTGAGAGTAAAGTTTATCTGCTGCTAGAGGGGGAGAGGGCAATTTTCCAGAGAATGGCTTCATGAAAGATCAAAGAGCTGGATCCGGCAGCTCCTACCTCGACGGTGCATTTCACATCCCAGAGAAAACGAAAATGTTAAGCCTCCCCTTTCCTGCTCTGAAAGCCCCACACAACTTAGGCGCGAGTGGAGGAGGGAAAAATTAAAAAAAAAAAAAAAAGTTTATGTGGCTTCTTTTACAGGAACTGTCTTACACCATCGTGGCTCTCCAACCCCACACGTTCCCTTAAGGCCTCTAAATCACGGCGCTACCCTCGGAGATGTCGGACAAACTGGCATCTATTCAGCAGCCGCACCGCTGCTGCCACGGCGCAAGGTCAGATGTTAATAGGGACAGTTTATTCAGCCCTTAAAACAAGCGCGGAGCTCACTGAACCGCGCGTCCTAGTGTTTCCTGAGCCCAGAGTCTGACCTCCTCAGTCCCTGAGGGTCGGCCAGGTACACAGAGAAAATGGGACCCTCTAAATCCCAAAATGAGCTGCAAGCACGGCGGCTGCCCCCTCGCCCACTCAACTTTAATCCCCTCCTGGTTCCCGCTGAGATTCTGGCAACACTCAATGTCCCAAATAATAACGCATTATTATAACCATTCCGAGGAGAGTGCTGGAAGGCGGGCAGAGTGAAGGAGGAAGCTCCGCTCATTGCTATCCACCCTCGGCAATAACAAAACCCCGAACTTTCCTTTGTTTTCTCCTTCTTTCTCCCTCGACCCTGCCCCCCTTCAGTGGCTACCAACCAGCCTCGGCTACCAACCAGCCCCGGAGCGCTGAGCCGACCGAAAAGAGGCACGGAGCGCCTGTCCCCCGATCCGGGCAGGGGCGCGGGGATGCGCTAAGGGGTAAAAATTGTAGCTGCCCTCACCTCCTGCCAACCCCCGCCCCCTCGTAAAGAACACAACATCAGGTTTCCATTGTGCCAAGAAGAACCGAGGGAAAAAAAAAAAGAAAGAAAAAAAAGAAGAAAAAAAGGATGGCGGAAAGAAAGCGAGAAAGAAGTAAGGAAGACAATAAAATAAAGGGGGGGGGGGCGGAAATAAAAGAAAAGTAAAAAGGTAAGAAAGGAAGAAAAAGTAGCCAACATGAATCACCACCTGGGGATGCTGGCGGGTCCGCTGGTCCCAAATGGATACGCGCAATTCTCCTAGGAACAGGAGCAGCTTTCCCTGCCTCCCCTCTCCCCATACACCCCTACTCGAAGAGCAGAAGCATCCTCCCCTGCAGCTAGGGGTGCCGCGCCTTACCTGCGGCGCGGAGGCGAAGGAGCGAGGCGGCCGCCAGCAGGAGCAGGAGGCGGCCCGCCGCCCCCCGCCGTCCCGCCGCCGCCGCGGGGTCCATGCTGCCCGCCCGGCCGCCGCGGCACAGATCCTGCCGGGAGCCGCGGGGAGCAGCGCCTGCGGGCGCACTGGGGTCCGGTGGCAACGCCGCAAACTCGTCCCGGGCTCCGCCGCCGCGGCCCTGCGCTCCCGCTAACGGACCGTCCCCGACTGGGGGCGGAGGAAGCTGCGCTCCTTTCCCCTCCTCCTCCTCCTCCTCCGCCTCCTCCTTCCCCAGCATCCGAACGTCACCCGGGACTCGACACAGGGGAGGGGAGCGGCGCCGGGGGGCGGACGGGACAGGGACAGTCCCATCGCTCCGGCACCCTCTGCCGGGGGCAGCCTCGGCCCCGGCCCCGGCCCCGGGCCAGTCCGCGCACACTTTTCCCTCCGCACTCGACGGTCACCAGGAGCCAGCAGGAGTTGGGCCCCCTCTGAAAGGCGAGTCCTGCTCCCAGAAGCCTCAGGAGCCTGCAACTTTCCTCACAAAAATCCCCAGTAAAACAAAAAGGAGCGGGCGAAAGGCACATCGGCCAAAAACCACTACGGCTTTTCTCCTTTGCCTACTTCCTCCTCGCTGCACAAGTGAAGAGTTTTTGCACCACTGCAGCATTAGAAACAGTGGATTGAACACAGTTTCTCCTGCCCCCAAAGCGCCCAGGGGCGTCAGCCCCGCCGCACGTACTCGGAGAAGCAAGAACCAGTGCGGCTGGGATCTTCTTTGTGCTCTACTGGTTCTCTCATGATGGGGTGTCAAAAGTAAAGTTTGCTTTCTGTCTTCAGCAGGCAGAAAAGATTCTGCTGACAGTTTAAAAATAGTTTCAAAATATCTCCAAATATTTTCAAAAAGTTTCAAAATGTCTCCAAGTTATTTACTACCAGAAGTAAGAGCATTCTAAGCATAATTTAAGTAAGCTTTTCGGGCTGATGTTTTAGTGATGGAGGGAAGGAGGAAAGAAGGAGTTGTCCTCGTTTGCATCTGCAGTTCAAAGAAATCAGTATTCCAAGATAATGCAGAGCTGTCAACAGGCTCCTTTTAACTGCCAAGGGTACAGTTGGCAGATAATCTCCAAGGATACAGTTCACCAATTAATATCTAAAAGTTGTAATTTAACAGCATATTAAATTAGATGTCTTCACTGCAAATACATTTCTATTGTTTTAGATTTCATTTGTAAAGATCTGATGCTGAGTAATGCTGAATACGTACAAATCCCTTTAAGTTCTTCTCCAAATCAAGCTCTAAATTCACAATAATTTTAGTGAAATTAATTTTCCATTAAATTTACTTTTTAATGCAAACAAAGGCAAACTTTACAACATATTCTTTCTTCCTTCTTTTGCACTCAGCTTCTTTCCTCTCAAGTTTTCAGTTCCATCTTGAAAATTCTTCTGGCACCTAAGAATGACAAAGGGAGGTCTTGATCCCTCTTTGGCAGGAATGTAGGGACTGACCGATTCAGCCCCTTGCCATCACAACAACACATTTTAAAATCCCTTTTATAAACTTATGAAACCTAAGGGAAAAGTAGTGATGATCCTTTTTATAAACTCTATTCCTTGGGTTAAAGGCTGTTCCAGACTTTGCTTCTTTGATTCCAGAGTATATATATTCAGATAAGTTTATATTCTTTCTCTCTTGTGCCATTACTACCCTTCCCACTTCCCCTCTCTATGACATAAAATGACAGATTCACGCCTCAACCTTTATGTTGTTACACTAAAAAAACCTAAATCTTTTAATTTCCTTTGAAATGATCAGTTATGTGTTCCCTGATCACCCTAATCCTCCTTTTTCCTGCCACACTGAATATCCCCTCACTCCTCCAAAATTTTGGGAGTCTGATTTAATTTTTCTGATGATGAGTGGCTTGAGGTTGACACAGTGCTGGAGATGCTTTTTCTACTAGAGCACTTTTAATTTCCTTTCTGTGGTGAAATGATTGATGCATACCAGTGATTTACAGCACCTGGCCAGTTATAGGTATACTATGATGTGTTAGAAAATCTACTTCCCTCTTTCCTTATAATTGTGTATAACTAACAGCAGAGACCTGCATCAAAATCCTGACCTCATTAATCCACCCCACCCCCCTTTTTTGTAGTTCAATTCATCAAGATCAGTTCCTTCTTGCACCTTCTTTTACTAAAAACACCTCTTAGCTCTGCATCAACAAAAAATTTGGTTGCACATTGATAAATAAAGTCAATGTGAGGAAGTGTCCCCAAGAAACTAAAGCAGAGACAGTGCTATGACTTTTAAAACAAAGTTTAGGTGGTTAAAAAACTGCAACAATTACTTGCGTAAAGTACAAATTCAAACTCTCTATTCCTGTGAAATTTATGATTGTACAGCTGTGTTACTTGCCTTCCAGCCTAATAGGAAATAAAAGTGTCTGCATAAATTTGTCTACATTTTGCATAATCATTACAATAAATAATATTTTGATTTTTTTCTCTTAGGGTCTGAAAGATCTCACAAAATAACTAGGATATAGATAGGATATAGACCCATTTTTTGCATTTGGGAATAAATTAGCATGTGATAGAAACTTTGGTTGTGAATAATTTTTCTGACATGGGAGGGGAAACTGGTTCTTTCATGAACGTTTAATGACTTGGCCAAGTTAGCTACTGAGAATTTAAGTCATCTTCAGTCCCACAAATTATTTTGTCACTAACCACAAAAACTGCTATTCATATTTCACATTGCAAGTAAAGTCACTACAGTGAAGAAACCACAGCACAAATTCTCACTCTGTATTGTAGAAAAACATGTACAGCAAAGACAGACCTGTGGAACAACTGCACGTTCTGAGCTGGTTCCCCCAATTCACATAAGCCATTAGAGAGATCACATGTGTTGTGCAGCATATGGCCTCAAACTGTTTTGTCACTAGCTGAGAAAAAAAAAAGCTGTGCACGTATTTGTTTGCATGACCATATGGTATGTGCCTGATAGGAGCAGTTAAAAGCAATGAGCAAAGCTGGAATTCAGCACGACCTTCCTGGGGAATCCCTGACAGAATTTGGGTGGATTCCCTATGCCATTTTTGTCTGCTTTCATAATAGATATAACAAAAGTGACTTTAAAGAAAGTGTAAGATTAAATGTGGTTCCAACTTGAAGGTCTCAGTGTGTCTGTAATCATCCTGCAAGCTTAGATAAACTTTAACTGGTACACTATCTTTAACAAAAAATTAATTCCTCACCAGATCCTTTTATTCTTGTGATGAAAGCAGCACAGAAAACATTGCCTGCATGTTTCACATTTTCAGGATCAGCTCTTGGGCTTTATTCTCCAATATTAAACTACATTACATAGATTGGCCAAAGCTGAAAAAAGGATTTGGGCATAAAACACAAGATTCAGACACTAAAGTCCAAATTTGTAATGCAAAAATGCACCTGTTTAGTCTTGAATATTCATTCTTAGCTGAATCCTGTTAGGTGTAAACATTCCTTGTGTGATCAGCTATACATGTTCAGAACTGCCCCAGCCACAGCAATCGAATGATCACTTCCACAGAGATCCAGAAACTTTTCTGCTACAGCACTTGAGATTCTTGGCTAACTGTGCCTGATTCTGACCACACACACAATTCTGCTCACTGTCTTCTGAAGTGCATATTTTGGAAGAGAACTGAGGTGATTGTGCTCAGTGTTATGTGTCAGCCCAGCAAATACCGGTCCAACCTATGGAGAGCTGGGTTCTTAACCTTTCTTGACATCTAGATCCTCACGGAATGACTTGGTGAATGACTCTTCTACTCCACTTACTGGAGTCTGTCATTGTATGCAAACAAACTGGAGAGTTCTGGATGGAAGTGGGAAGGCACAAGAGAAAGCCCAGCTGGATTGTTCAGACACTGAGCATAATGTAGGAATTCGATGAGACTGTTGGTCACCTAATAAATGTTACAGTTAGTGAAACAAAAAGAAAATAGTTTGGAGCAGCTATTCAAATAAAGAACTGCATGTTTAGAGTCTATCTGCCTATTTCTGTGGTTTGTTGTTTTTTTTTTTTAATGAACCAAACCTATTAAATAGGTTAAAATAATTAAATATTTCAAATATTAAATAAAACAAAATTACTGTAAATATTAAAAAAACCCCACAATTTAAAAAAACTCATTAGAAAATCTTTTCCTACAAAAAAAATCAGGTTTTGATCCACATTTTTAGACCATTGCTTCTCATGCTTTAAATATACATGATTTTGAGAGATTTATGTGTGTGGGTGTGTGTGTGTACTAAAAGGGTGAGAATAAAAAATTTGAAGGAATTATTTTTACCTCCAGAAGGTAAAACCCATTTCTACCAGGAGAAAGGTATTTCACCCATTTCTTAGGAACTATGTCTTTGCTTTTGTTTCCAGGTCAAGATACACAAACCTGTCAAATAGTACTGCTACAGGAGCCAACACACCAGAATAAACAAATCTGCAAGCATTCATACCATCAACACTCTTATTAAAGGAAGATCACCAAGGATATTTCTCATGCGTAGAACCACAGGAAACAATAAACTAAGTGTTTCATTTGATTCATAAGTCAGGATGCAGACAACACTCCCAAAAACAGAGTCAATTGCCCTAACTTGTAAAATCACACTCGCTCACTGGTTTGAGCAACCTGCAGTGTCTTCAGACTCATGCACCCTCAAATCTCTCTAGTCATAAAAACTGAAAGGGGGAAAAAGCTGCATCTCTCTTCTGTATCCATTATTCCAATGTGTGAAACAATTATAGAATGACTTATTGAAGATAAAAGTCTGAATAGGGACTGAGGCTTAGGTTTTCATTATGTAAATTAAACAAGAACATGAGTGTCTGATTTGATTTAATTTAGGATTCAAGTACTCCTTGAAATTGTTATGATTACAGTAAAAGGTGATCTTGGCATTTAGTCTCATGCTCAAAAAAATAAAACCAAGGTTCTTTTATCATGCAGTTTTCATTATCATCTTGTTAGTTGTACTGAATTACTTATGTGTATTTATTTCAGTCGTTTATGTCAGCCATCCCATGTCACTAGCATGCTACAGTGTTGTAAATAGCATGGGAACAATTAAAATTGTAGCTATTTAACTTATGTAAACTCCAAGGCAAGTCCTGGCTGTCAGACTGGAGCACCAACCATCAGACATTTGACTGACTGCAAAGTAAAAAAAGGCTGACTATTCATCCTTGACAACCTTAGTTACTTCCAGAGTTCATAAAGAACTATAAATATACCACCC